CATTGGCAAGGCTCGTCTTAGATTGATGTGGTAGCCAGCTTCCGAGAGGGCCCCAGTGATCATGTCCTCGGATATTCATGCTCTTGTACAGTACCTTCCCACACTAACCCAAGGCCAGCCTATGTGACCCACTGAAGTGATGATGTGTGGCTCCCAAAGCTAGGTCACCGAGGCATTGCTGCTCCTGCTTTGATCTCTTGTGTTGTTCCCTCTGAAGGAAGCCAGGGACGGTGTTGTGGGGATATTCAGGCAACCCTGCAGAGAGGAAGTGAGGCCTCTTGCCAACAGCCAGTGTCAACTTGCCAGCCACATTAATGAGCCACCTTAGATGTGGATTCAGATCAGCTCTGATCAAGACTGCCCATGAATGCGGTCCCCTCTTACATGTGATCGCATCTTCACTAGAGACCCTGAGCCAGAGCCACCAGCAAAGCCACCTTGATCTCTTGGATTGCTCCCTCTGAAGGAAGCCAGGGACCACATTGTGGGGATATTCAAGCAGCCTTCCTATTTTTTATTTTAAAGTATGCAATTTTTCTCCAATTATAAAAATAATGCATTATCAAAACAGATAACAGAAAACACAAAAATTCACCAAGAAAAACAATAACAGAAGCCCCTTAATCCCACAGCCTGGAGAGAGCCGCTGTTGGTCTCTGCAGCTCTAAGAAGCCAGTAAAGCCACTGTCTGAGCTGATGCACCCAGCACAGAAGACTCCCCAGAACCGAGGGGAGCCTGCAGACAAAGAACACACACATTTTGAACAGCGCAATAGGACGAAGCTGAAGTCTCATCCTTCAACAACTGTTTTCCTTTTAATTCCTAACCCACAGAAACCATGTGTGATAATAAATGATTAATGCCCTTAGTTTCTTTTTCATTTAGTTTCAGTTGGACATATGTTAGCTCAGAAAAGGATGCCTCCTTTAGAAGGTCACATTCCTCATTAATCTCTTCAGGCAAAGGAGAGAAAATAAAGATGAAAGAAATATAAGAGTTAACACTGATAGAGAATATTTTTCCTTCTTCGCCCACTCCT